AATAAACTCACCAGAGAAACCATCCAGATGTGAACAGAAATAAATAAATTCTACAGAAATCTCAACGTAAGTTTGAAAGAGAAAAATTCTTCCTCATCTCAGCAGGCACAGCATTAGGAATTACAGTGCTAAAAACCTTGTTCCAGACGTTAATACGCAGTCCAGATTGGATAGGGCTGAAAGTGGTTGGGCCTTCCCCTCACATACACCAGCAATTGAGTGGCAAACTGATGCAGTAGGGTTCATGAACAGTATACAAATCTACATTACTCTTTCTCAGAATACAAAAACTTGGTTTCTCTAATGGAATAAGGAGTGGCAGGTTTTCAGTAAATGCAAGTAAATGAAAATGCATCTTCATATGCTGTGTGAATAACAAGTTGAATTACTTTCTACAAGCTGTAAACTGCCTTTAAGGAAGTGTTGTTTTTCTTCCATGGCTATTAGCCATGCAAACAAGATGCATAATGTAGATTTCAAGAAGTAGTATATGCATGATGTATAATCAAGGATAAACTGGAGATGGCCGTTTCATTTTTCAAAAACAGGAAATGGAATAACTGGGGAAAATAACAGATCTGAAACATCTTAGAAATCTTCCATTAATTATGTAGGTTCATCCTATGCCTGTTGTGCAAGAGAAGTTCTCAATTGTAACTGTCAGATTATTTTTCCAATATTTCAGGGTATACTTTACATAAGCCCACCCTTCAACCATAGCTAAGGGATCAAAGTGGAATCATATGCTTTCTTCCTTTCCACGTGAAAATGTTTCTTACTGGCCTTAATAATTGCTATTAATTGGGGGAAGTTGCATGTCATCAAAGGCTAGGGTTCCTCCAGAATCCAGGTTTATTGTTTACAAACCATACTGCCTGATCACTCCTGCTGTACGTGGTAACACTAAACAACTCACAGTAGCACATGGGTAATTTCCTTGATTTTTCAGGAGAAAGATAAAGTAGAACTTTGGATATCACACTTGAGCTTGCAGGGGGAGCATGCTCATGCATGGTAAACTAGGTTTCCAGAGAAACCATGGTGTATGAACCATAATAACTGCATTTGAATTAATTAGGATTAGAGCTTGTTTCTTGTTTCTCCAGGGCTTATAAGTAGCTTGCTTTGAAATCTGGATTGAGCATACCAAATACAAATGCTTGGCAATGTTTATGACCTGCAGTTGAATTACATCTGAGGGGGAAAACGTGTAAACCAGTTATACACTTCCCTGAATGTTGATTATTAGTCTATCTGTGCTTGTTTTATACTAATATTTGTTTTGCTTCAACTTGTTCGGTTTCAGTGAATTTTAGAAAACATTATAATGCCTAATTTTGAAAATATTTTTTGAAATGATGTTTTGTGTATACATGAAATATTTAAAACTGTTCTTAGGAATAAATTATTATTATTATTATTATTATTATTATTATTATTATTATTACATTTTTATACTGCCCATAGCCAAAGCTCTCTAGGCAGTTGACAACAATAATTATAGAATCATACACTCAAGTCACCCATCCCACTTCTGCCCAGGCCTGACCCTGCTTAGCTTCCAAGAGTAGGCAGGATCAGGCACTTCCTGAAACATGGTTCACTGGAATTTGTTCCTTTTTACAGTTATTTACCATAGTTTCTACCTCAGATTGAATATTAACAAATATACAGACTGAAAAGCCAATATCTCATAATTTAAGTGTAAAAGCACTTGCATGGCAGTGACCCTCAGTGAACTTAGGAGGGCTTACTTCTAAGTAAAGATGCTTAGGATTGTATATCTTTTCCAAGTATTGATTTATATAGTTAACTTGAACTGTAAAGTATATTATACATCATAATGTGTCACTTTGATATTTGTAGCAGAGACATTATAGAAAGTCTTCAAGTGTTCCAGTGATGAAGGAATTTTGTCTGTGAAAAAAAATAAATACTTTAGATTTAAACTGCAAATTCTAAATAGGTTTTCAGTCACAGTCTTTTGTGTAAATTTTGCATTACCCATTTGTTCTGCCTCCCCTATCTAGTTTCTTAGTTGGTGAAGGAGCCTTCAAGTGGGCAGTAGATCATGGGATACCAGCCTGTCCTCCAGGTGTCATGGCAACAAGTGAGTAAATTGTTGTTAAGAATTTATTTTTTAAATTAAGGCACATAATCTAGGAAACATGGGAGTTTGTATAGATTTAAGCAAACACATATTTGAGTACAGGTCATATCGGTGGGGTACAATCACAGCTGTTGTTCTTTTTAAAAATATACCCTAAATTTTATTTTGATTCTACCCATATTTGAGTGAGCCTAGTAAAAACTTTTTATTTTGTCCAGACAATATCAATCCAATAATCTGCACATGAAATGCTATGCCCTAGTCTTTGTTTAGGGATCAGGTGGCGCAGTGGGTGAAACTGCTGAGCTGCTGGGCTGGTTGATCAAAAGGTTGCCAGGTCAAATCTGCACAACGGAGTGAGTTCCTGTTGCTCCGTACCAGTTCAAAAGCATGCAAATGCAAGTAGATAAAAAGGTACCACTTCAGTGGGAAGGTAACAGCGTTTAGTCATGCTGGCCACATGACCATGGAAACTGTCTGCAGACAAATGCTGGCTCCCTCGGCTAAGAAACGGAGAAGAGCACCGCCCCCTAAAGTCAGACATGACTGGACTTCACGTCAAGGGGAAACCTTTACCTTTACCTTTACTCTTTGTTTCCTCTTACTATATTGATTCAGCTAGTTACCTTGTGCTTAGTTGCCCCAAATACCTAAAATCATCTCCAGAGGCCCATTTCTGGCTGCCCCTACTTTCAGGGATTAATGAGGGGAAAGCACATTTGCTTTGTTTCCCTCTTTAGGGAATACTTTCTCCAGGCACTTCTGCCAATTTTAGGAACCATGCCAAAACATTTTTTCCTGGTGGAATAGATATGTGTTCCAGGCAGTCCCTGGTTACAAACGAGTTCAGTTCCTGAGAAAATGGAAATTTGTCTTTATGTTGAATTTGTATGTAAGTTGGATCATGTATAGTTGGTACTTCACATTCATGGGGATTATGGGCACAGGAGCCCCCATGAAAGTGGAGAAACCATTACTACCTCTAGCCTCCCCTGCACCCAAACTCACCAGTGCCTCCTGTTTCTAGCAAAGAAATGCTGGAGAAATTTCCTTCTTCAGGAAGGTATGGCAGGAAGGCTAGCTTTGGAGACGCTCCCTCATTCCCGTTTTGCTTCCTCTCTCTCTATGGTAACAATAAAATATATTACAAATAGCACAAAATTAATTAAATTAAAATATCTAAAAACATATAGTAAGAAAAGGACCCTATAAAGGAAAAGAATCATCTGGATAATCCCCACAGGCTCCTGGGTAATGAAGTAGATCTTTAAAGGCCTCAGCATAAAGGACTGTCTTCATCTGATGCCAAAAAGATGGCAAGTTTGGTGTCAGGTGGGCTGCAGCAGGGAAGTTGTTCCAAAGATGGGAGGCCAACACAAAGAAAGCCCTCCTCCTTCTTGCTGCCCTTCAAGCCTCCCTCTGTGTTGGAGCAGCAGACCCCAGAGGCTGCACGTAGTGTCTAATTTGATCACGGTAGTGGGAGGCATTCCTACAGGTATTGTGGTCCCACGCCATGTAAGGCTTTGTAGCACCTTGCATTGGGCCTGGAAACATATAGGCAGCCTGTGCAGGCTGGGCCAAAACTGGTCTTATATGGTCAGACCTATGGCTCCCAGTTATTAATCTGGCTGCCATGTTCTACATGACCTGTTGTTTCTGAACCATCTTTGAGTGCAGCCCCACATAGTAAAGCATCTTTAGGAGGATCATCTTCAGGGTGCTATCTACTAGCTAAATTTCACTTTTAGATAAATATTTGTAACTCTTTTTATATGCTTTTTATCTGAGCTGATTTCTGTGCTAAATGAATTCACTTTCTCTGAATTAACTCTGTAGCAGTAAAGCCCTAGAACTTTTCTTTTGCTAGTTGCATTTTTTCCCAACCCACCTCAGGAACAGTAATACCACTTCATTTTCAGTGACTTTTTAAATACACTCCATGAAATGACTGCCAGGGGGTGCTGTCTGATTGGCCGCAGTTTAGATGCTTTTCTGAGGACTAAGAACATCCCATTTTGTTGTGGTTGTACTTAAGCTGTTTTCTGAGGTTTAGATTCTGTTTTGTTAGTGACTCTAGAGATATAATTGTTTTACAAATTGGAGAATCTTCATGAGCTGTGAAATTGTTAGATATCTTGAGAAGCAGTTCTGCCAAATTACAATTTACTGCAGTTAGAATAAATCTGAACTTCAGTTAATCTGAACAGTCTAATTGAGGGAAACTGTGGATTGGTGTAACAGAAAATAACACTCAAAAGACTTGGTTTGGTAAAGAGAATGGAATGATGATCCAACACATGTCTGAACACAAGTTGTAAATGTATGAAGGATAACACGAGCAGTTTCCTTAAGTTCTACTTTCTTGACAGATACCAAAATACCATAAACTATATATGGCCCTGATTCCTCCAGTGGTATATTTTCTAATGGTATATTTTAAATACATACCTAGCTAGACATATCTGTATGAATAGTGTCTTGACAAAATGAACTTACACCCTTTTTATTAAGTTTAAATATGGGGCTTAAGCTTTGTTTTTTTTAAGTAAAAAGCATGAACCTTAAAACATGAAATAAACTTCATTTCCCATTGGCCTGGTTCAGACACCATGGTACGGTAGTTAGGAATGTGCTGCAGGCACTTCCATTCACCTCCTTATCCCCTGTCACTTCCCCCTTTCCCATCCTAATTTGCAGCAGTCATAGTTCTTCTCATAGCTCAAATCAAAAGCCACAGTTTTGAAATGGTTGTTGAACAGCAATACCCTCTGCATGGATACTAAGAAGTAAGTCCCGCTGATTTCGGCAGGTTTTACTTGCAAATAATTGGATATTGGTTAGCAGTCTAATTCTGGTTAGAGGCACTGGGATTTTGCAAATACAAAAGAATGAGTATGGGGGGAAGTGGGAGCTTGTTCAGGCAGCTGGTTGCAATGTCTGCACTAGGCTGGAATCTAGGTAAATAACTTTCATCCTTATCATACGTAGCATTCCAATGCTTTACAGAAAAGGTCTGCATAAAGCAAAGTACTCTAACCTTTCCCATCTCCGACAAACAAGAACATTTTATAATCTCTGCACTGTGCTACCTTTTCTGGGGACAGTGCAGCTATTTTTAGGGATTTAGAATGGCATATCCCTTACTTTATTTGATAAATCAGAATATTTTTTTGACCTGTATCTCTGCATTTACAAGGCAATGTTACCATGTGTTTGTAACTCCAGCTGCAAGACTACCTCTCCACAGCTAGCATGATCTATATCAGCCTTTATCAACCTGGTGTTCTCCAGATGTTTTGAACTAAAAACCTCAGCATTCCTGACTGTTAGTAATAGTTGGGACTAATGCAAGTTGCAATTTAAAACAACTGAAAGGTACCAGGTCGGGGAAGCCTAATCTAAGATTCTTTAACCCAATTCTGGATTATGTACCATGAACACATTAGTTGAAGGGGTTTTTTTGCATATAAAAAGCCACTGGAAACATCTATTTATATAGTTGTATTCATGGAAGCAAGAGTGGTCTTAATCAAGGAAAGGTCAGCTGTTCCTTTGGTGAAGTAATAGCTATTTAATTTTTTTAAGATTACAAATATGGGTAAAATTATGGATATCATTCTTAGTAAGATAAGTTATAAAATATGGCATTCTTTTTATTTTGAAAATTTCAGTTTGACTTAGAAGTTATTTTTGTATTAAGAGATTATTGAAAATTGGAAAAGAAACTATACTTAGAATTCTCAAGTATTGATCAGTGTAAAAACAAAAAAGTACTAATTTAATCTAATCAGGGAGAAAACTACTGGGAAGAACACAAGAAGGGGAATTAAATAGAAAATGTACAAATAAACAGTCTAATATGTCTACATTTTCATGTTTGACTAAGAAAAGCATTTTCTCAGTTCCTCTTCCCAAAGCCTTTTCTCTAGCTGAGATATATTGATAATATCTTCATCATTTGGACCCATGAACAGGGGGCCTCTTGAGAAATTCCATCATAACTTCAACATGTTCCTCCCCATCATCAACCGGAGCCGCACTAGACATGATGTAGTTGTACATTAAAGGACACATAATCACTAGCTTCTACCTGGAGCAATCACAGAATCTATTGTCTACTCAGTCAAAGACTAAAATTTGTCATGATTTATATTTATATTTTATTATTAATATAATATTTATATTATATTTCCTTGTCACAGGCTCTGGGTAATAAGCCTATCCCTGTTTACAAAGACACCGCCACAATCCTGGACCTTGCAGCAAACCCAGATGTCAGTTCTGCCCCCATATTTACTCTGGTAGTGCTATTACAGGATCTGATGTAGCTGGCTACAATTTCGTGGGTTCAGTCACTCATCATCTAGTGTGAGATACTTATGCTATCATGTGCCTGTGGTGATTTGTTGAATTTAGTGCAGGATATAAAAGGTAGTCTCTGTGTAAGAGAATAAATGGACAAAAACTGTTATGTTAAATGGCAATATTGAAAAACGTATGGGGAAACTTTTCATCCTCCCAGGACTCTTTGCAACTGATTTTAGGCAGCTTGAACAAAGAAAGTTGAAAACTGGACTGTTTTGATAATCATATATCCATTCTTACTTATTAGAGAAAATTAAATATAACCAACTATGTATGTTTGAGTGAGAGCTGTTCCTTTTTGTATGGATTTAATTCTTCAATAATTTAAATGCTATTAAATATTTTGTAGGACTTAGCTTAGCAGCTTTTAAAAGGAACAAGAGAAAACTGGAATTGGCAGAAAAAGTGGAAACAGATCTTTTTCAGTTGAAGAAAAGAAGACAATCAAGTGAAAAGGTTAGTACTTGTTCTCAAACTGTTGTTCACTCTTAAATTGTTATGGTTTATCAGAGGTCACAAGTTACAAACTGAAAATGTCTGAAGATCTTATTTCTTATGTGAACAAATATCTGGTGACATATTGCAGTATTCTTTTCTTTTAATGGCCAGTATAGAGAGAGGCATCTGTGTTCTCGTGTGTTTGCATGAACCTATATGCATGTCTATGTGTCCATGCTGTTTTGCTTTAGGCAGTAACTTCTAACTAAGGAGTTCCCTGATTTCTCCATGTGGCTTACCATGTATGAAAAAAGCCCTTGTGTACAAAGAGTAGACCAATAGTTGTATCCTTCAAATGTTGTTGTTAGTCACAAAGTTGTGCCCGACCCATTGTGACCCCATGGACAACTCCAAGCCTTCCTGTCCTCCACCTTCCCCCAGAATCCACTTAAGCTCACACCGACTGCTTCAGTGATTCCATCCAGCCACCTCATCCTCTGCTGTCCCCTTCTTTTGCCATCAATTGTTCCCAGCATTAGGCTCTTCTCCAGGGAGTCCTTCATTCTCATTAGGTGGCCAAAGTATTTGAGTTTCATCTTCAGGATCTGGCCTTCTAAAGAGCAGTCAGGCTTGACCTCCTCTAGGACTGACTGGTTTGATCTCCTTGCAGTCCAAGGGACTCGCAGGAGTCTCCTCCAGCACCACAATTCAAAAGCCTCAATTCTTTGGCACTCAACCTTCCTTATGGTCCAGCTTTCACAGCCATACATTGCAAACCCTTCAGATAACTCATACTTATTATCAAACTTTACTTGTCCATTATATCCTTGACTGATGGTGCATTCTGTGCATATTTAATCAGAAGTCTTACTGTATTTAGTGAGTCATAGTCTCAGGGACAAAGTGTGCAGGAGCTGATACCATGAGTTGTTCACTTTATTGATACAGTTACTTGGTATACAAGACTCAACTCCAAATGGTACTTCAGTAAACATACAAAGGAAAGCAGCATGAACTACATGTTCTCCATTTAATGGGGCTAGCATTCTCATTGCAAACCCACAGTGGTACGATTTGCATGTCAAATCAAGGGTTCCAAATCTGGTTTGGCAGCAAATGCAAATGATGTTCTGCCAATTTAGATGTAAATATATAACACAAAGTATGCTTTCTGTTAAAGTGGCAAGTAGGAAAGGTATGTGAGAGAAGGTGAGAGCATGGGTGCCTGATGCCTGCTTATTACACTTGCACCATAGTCTCAGTGGATTCAGTATAGTAGAAATAAGGTCACAAAAGGAATTTAGAACAGCAGGCTGTAAAACCGAGGCAATTTAGAATGCACATGTCCAAAAAACTAAGATTGCCAACCTTCCTTATTTTTGAACCTAATTTCTGGAAGTGCTTTATATGTAAATTATTGCTCTAGAACAGGGATGGGCAACCCTCCTGAGGTTTTGGCTACAACTAAGCCATGTGGGAGAGAGGAAGTAGAAGTTGTAGGCCAAAAATCTGGAGGGCCATATGTTGCCCTCTTACAACTCTGTTCCTGACATTTCGTTTGTTATTACATTTTACCAAATGTAGATCCTCAAAATATATGATTTACTTTAAATTGAATTGACCTTATTCCATACAGGGTTCAGATATAGGAAAACCTGTGAGGATTCACATTATTGCATATATATCTTCACTTGTATTTCTATTATTTTTTGTATTTGTCTTATTTTGTTGTTAGTCACGAAGTCGTGTCTGACCCATCGCGACCCCATGGACAACATTCCTCCAGGCCTTCCTGTCCTCCACCATCTCCCGGAGTCCACCTAAGCTCACACCAACTGCTTCAGTGACTCCATCCAGCCACCTCATCCTCTGCCGTCCCCTTCTTCTTTTGCCATCTATTGTTCCCAGCATTAGACTCTTCTCCTGGGAGTCCTTCCTTCTCATTAGGTGGCCAAAGTATTTGAGTTTCATCTTCAGGATCTGGCCTTCTAAAGAGCATTCAGGATTGATCTCCTCTAGGAGTGACTGGTTTGATCGCCTTGCAGTCCAAGGGGCTCGCAGGAGTCTCCTCCAGCACCACAATTCAAAGGCCTCAATCCTTTTGCACTCAGCCTTTCTTATGGTCCAGCTTTCACAGCCACACATTGCAACTGGGAAAACTATAGCCTTGACTGTATGCACTTTTGTTGGCAGGGTGATGTCTCTGTTTTTAGTATGCTGTCTAGATTTGCCATAGCTTTCCTCCCCAGGAGCAAGCGTCTTTTAGTTTCTTGGCTGCAGTCCCCGTCTGCGGTGATCTTCGAAAATAAGATCGAAGGAAAATAAAATCTGTCACTACCTCCATTTCTTCCCCATCTATTTGCCAGGAAGTGAGAGGACCGGATGCCATGATCTTAGTTTTCTTAATGTTGAGTTTCAAGCCAACTTTTGCGCTCTCCTCCTTCCCCCGCATCAAGAGGCTCTTTAGCTCCTCTTCATTTTCTGCCATTAGAGTGGTATCATCTGCATATCTGAGGTTGTTGATATTTCTCCCAGCAATCTTAATTCCAACTGGTGATTCATTTAGCCCTGCCTTTCTCATGATGTGCTCTGCATATAAGTTAAATAGGCAGGGCGACAGTACACAGCCTTGCCAAACTCCTTTCTCAATTTTGAACCAATCGGTGGTTCCGTGTCCAGTTCTCACTGTTGCTTCTTGACGCGCATATAGGTTTCTCAAGAGACAAATAAGATGGTATGGGTAAATATTTATCTCACCTTTCATCCTCAGTGGAACTCAAGGAATCATATATCAGGTTCCCAGACAATCTCCCATCAAAGAACTGACCAGACCCAGCCTTGCTAGTCTTATCGTGCCTTCAGATTTTAAAGATTAACTTCTTACTCAATAAATAATAAAGAATGGAAAGTGGGAACCTCTATCTTTATGCAGGTTTACAGCTATGATCTGATGGTCTGGTCTAAAGCCATTATTTCAGTTCATGCTGCAGATAATACAACTGAACTTTCTGATAAACTGTAACTCAGGTATAATTCATTGAAGTCTGCTTGATTTTTCTTTGTTCAAGCCACCTTAAGAGCAGTTGCAAAATGGGCCAGGGCAATGCCACATAAATGCCCAGACATGTTTACATATCGAATCCCTTTCTAGGTCCACAGTCAATACTTTAAAGTGAAAAACTTTAATTAAAACATCAAACTACAGAAAATGTTTCAACAGATATTGATCCTTTCATATTTGCATATTTATTTATTTAAAACATTTCTATGCCACCCCCATCGCAACAAAGCCTTGGGGCGGCTTACATACATTCTATAAAAAGGAAAAAGAACAGGAAAATACCTAACCAAATCATAAGGTACGATTACTTGTTCTATGAATACTGTTGTGATTTGTATCCAGAATGCCATACTTAGCAGAGGCCCATCAAAATCAATAAGACACAGCTAACTTGTCCCACTGATTTCATTGAATTTGCTGTAATCATGACTTAAGTCTGGATCCAACTCACTATATTTTCTTGATAGCTCCTTTTCACTTTTCCCCATCCAAGGATAAGAGAAATTGTTACACATATTAGACATGTTGACAAGGACCAGAACTCACCACTTGCACTCTGATTTCATTCAGTCCAGTCCCTATCTCTTGAAAATCAAGGAACTGATCAGACTGCACAGTGCTGGAGAAGACACACAAGGATGATAGTATCAATGGACTTGTTTAATGTTGTCATCCCGAGGTAATACTAGGGCCGCAACAGGATTACCAATGCTATCTGCTGGATAGCATCAGCAGCTCATATAATTGAATAAGCAAGTAACTGGATTCTAATTGTTTAGCTAGTATGCCAAACCATTGATAAAAATGTAACCAACACGTAAATGGGTTAGTTTCTCATGGCTTCTGATGAAGTGATTTCCATTCCTATACTTCTTTCCTTAATTGATGCTGGGTTGGATTTAGAGATGCCCCTCTGTGAATAGAATGGATTCTTCTGTTTGTTCAGGGGTGTGCAATCCAGCAGAGGCTCCCCTGGAGGAAACAGTGCCGGTGGAGAGGCTTACAGATTTCTTCTTACCTCTTGCTAGCTCCCACCAGCACTTCTCACTCCCCACACTATTTCAACCCTTCAGAGCACATTGGCAGCAGGCACAGGGCTGCAGTGGGAAGGAGTAATCAGCAAATATTCCTTCCTTCCATTGGTCTGTCCAGTCTGTTGAGTTCTGCTTATCAGAACTCTAGATGTAAGCCACAGTATTTTATGTATTATTCAAATAAAAAGCACAACAGGGAGCAGGGCATAGATGTGAACTGTTTCCTTAGGCAGGTATGGTAACTTGCCTTGTAAATCTTTCTTTTACTCTGCTTTGTAGGCTGGAGGTAATTATTACTGATTGCTGATGTTATAATTAAGTGATGTTCCATTCCTGCCTTTGTAGTCTTAGCTTTTTGCAAAAGCATATTGTGTTAGCTCTTAACAACTGTAAGCAAAAAACTATTGCCAGAGGGTACACCCAGCCATTTTGACTTTTCCACTCTTTGCTGTGTTACAGCCTGGAAATGAATTTGATTTAACTGGCATTGTCACCATTTGATGTACACAAGATGGTCAACACGGTGAAGGTCCAAAATATTGCTACTGTGGCACCAAAGTTAAGTGAACAAAAACAAACCAGCACTTGCTGGTTGCATATGTATTGTTCCCCTTTGCTGTGACCTGCCTGAATAAACTCTGGTGCAACCCACTGCCTCCAAAAGTCAGTGTTAATAGGTGAATGGAGGGCGCCTGTGTGTGATGCCAGTGCTGCCCCATGTCAGATTAAATAGAACAGTTTTGGGGGGCCCTAGAGTTTGTTGAAGAGTATGTCTAAACAAACAGCATCATGAAGACCAAGGAGCTATCAAAACAACCCTGGGATAAAGTTGTGGAGAAGCACCAATCAGGGTTGGGTTATTTAAAAAAAAAATCAAAACTATGACCATCCCCCTGAACACTGTTAAATACATTGTTAAAGGACAAAAAGACTATGACTTAACCATGACTGTTCATGGAGAAGTCTGTCCACCAAAATTCAGTGACTGAGATAAGGAAGGCATTTGTGAGAGAAGCAACCAAGAAGCAAATGGTAACTCTAAAGGTGCTTGAGGGATCTGCAACTGAGATGGGAGAAGCTGGCTATGGGACAGCTATTCAGATGTACCTCAGATTGTGGTGAAAAGAAAGCATCTGCTGAAACAAACCCATAGCAAAACCTGTTTGGAGTTTGCAAAAAATGAAACTCAACAAATGTGGGGAAAGATTCTCTGGTCTGATGAGATCAAAATTGACTTTTTTGATTTTACTGCAGAGCATGCATGGCATGAAGCCAACATTTACCTGAGAATACCTTTCCAAAAATTAAGCATGGTGATGGCAGCAGCATGTTGTGGGGATGCTTTTCATAAGCAAGGATGGGGAAACTGGTCAGCATTGAGGGCAAGATGGATGGTGCCAAATATAGGGCATTTTGGAGGAAAATCTGTTTCAGTCTGCAAAGAACCTGAGATTGAAGTAGAGATTTACCTTTGAGCAGGACAACTGTCACAAGCCACATTTCCTCCCTCTGACAATTACCGGCCTCAGGCTCTTTCTTTTTAAAACATTCTTTATTGCTTCCAACTGTAAATAATCCAGACAAGTCTTTGAGTGGCTTGTTGAACCCAATCTGGCGATTACTTCCCCAAACGCTCCTTATGAACATGTTAGTGTTGCAACCCTTGGGGAGGAGTGCTGAGGAAGCAAGCATGCCTCTTTCCAAACACTTCTCATCTAATTGAGCCTCTCACCTCTTCTGACGCCTAGCCACAGCTCTGAAGGGCTGAGCTCTTGATGATTCCCTAGTCTCAGTGGCCCCTTCCACTGGCTGTATCTCCATGCTATTCCCAGGGTCTGACTGATCCACTACCATGCCTGCCCTTGAGTTAATTGCCTCCCGCTGCTGCATCCCAGGACCTTGAGCAACCTCCTGATGCTCAGTCCCACCAAAATAGTCATCTTCGGAATCTGAATAAGCAAAAGTGGCATGACTAGCATCCCCTGGAAAAGCTTGCCAAAACTACCCATGACGCTTGCGGTCAACAACAATGACCCGAAACAACAGCCTAAGTAAGACTAGTGGTTTCAAAACAAAAAGCTGGATGTCTTGGAGTGCCCTTCAAAACACCAACTTCAATTGGATTGAGAATCTGTGGTAAGTCTTAAAAGTTGCCGTTTGCCAACAGTCCACATCCAGTCTGAATGAGTTGGAAGAGTTTGCCAGGAGGAAAGGGCAAACATTTTAGGACCCAGGTTTACAAAGGGGATAGAGGCTCCGCCAAGAAGACTTATAGCTGTTAACTGGGTGAATATTTGGGCAAGTAGCAAGGCCCAGTTCATTTTTGCTTACTTAACTTTTGTGCCACAATAAAATACTTTGCACCTTCACTGGGTTTGAGTATCTTCTATACATGAAGTGGTAACAATGCCAATTAAAATCATTTCAGTTCCAGATTGTAATACAACAAAATGTGGAAAAATTAGGGGATTTGTGACCGCTTCTGCAAGGCACTTCATTTGTGGAATGTTGCTTTCTTTGTACTTGTACCTGCTAGTACTCTCTATGCTCCCTCCCCTCCCAAAAAAAGCCCCCAACTTTTGAGATTTGATGGAATCTTGGGAATGGTGCTGGATAGAGTAGAGGGTACCCCAAAGGATGTTGGGATTGGAGATCCAAACTTTCCTTTACTCATGCTCAGTCCACTTTTGGATCTGACCCATTTGTCTTACTTTTCCCTCTGTGTAAAATAACTTTGGAGTCCAATCTTGATTTGGCTTATAATTGCTTAGCCATATGTGCAGCAAAGCCAAGCACCTTTCTGTTGGTCTCAGCCACTTAAACATGAGGTTGGATGATGGTTCATGGCAGCTATTTCTTGGGGCACAGTTTGAAAGTCATTCAAGTTCATCCATTTGTGTCTGCATAGTCAGTCTGATTAAAGAGTTCTAAAAGAAGATTTCTCATTTTTCCATAGTTTCAAGGTGAACAAATAGGTGATTCTAATTTGTTAGTGATTATAAGAGCAGGTGATTGGGATTAATTAATGAATTGCAAATAAGAGTGTGTTCTTTTGAATAAAAGAGGATGGAATGTAATTTTCCACATCAGCTATAATAGCTTTAATCTAAGGCAGTGGTTCTCAGATGTTTTTGCAATAAACCTTCCTAACTTTAAAAATCTATTTGAGTGCCTCCAGGCAAAAATGGAATGACTTAGCTTTATAACTTTTATTCTCATTTGGGACTGATGTCATTCAGATCAAAACAAAAACTGTGGTGAGCTTTGGTTACTTTTTGGAGTGTCTTTGTTCTGAGGAGCTTAAAACCTCTCAAGAAAAGGGAACAGCCTGTTTGTCTTTCTAACATGATATATCAGAAGCAGGGGTATACTGGGCTCATCTCTTTAAACTAAATTAGATGGGGAACTCAGGTAAGGTTTTGGCATTTAGAAGAAAGTTCCCTAAGAAGGCCTGATTGACAAGTGAAGGGACAGAAGATGGTTGCACTTTTTGCCACTGGATACATAATCTCCAGCCCATAAATAAAAACAAAAGCTTTTGCATATTTTCTGTATTTGAAGTATTTTAATATCACCATTGTGACACATTTCAGAGTGTCATACAGCATACAATGAATACAAAAAACAAGACAACAGCATATAAAGCCTTAAAATAGACAAGAACTTGCTCTATTATCAGTGCAATCTTATTATAGAGCTACGTGAAAGTAAGACCTACTCCGTTGCATGGATCTTGCTCCCAGATACCAATGCATAGGATTGAAGTTTCAAAAGAATAAATACCTTAAAGTGCAATCTTGTACACATCTAGCTTCTTGAAAGTAAGCCACACTGAGTTCAGTGGGACTAAATGTATACAGGATCGTAGCCTTAGTTTTGTATCACCAAAAGGACACCAACAGCAAAATTCTTTCTATGGCTAACCTAGATCAAAGGTCTCTGGGAAAAGGAAGAAACAATTCAGGAACAATTAATGATTTCTGTGGTCCTCTCTTGAAGATGACGGCACCCTCTAGATGCCAAAATGTATCTTGGATTTGTGTGTTGGCTGGGTAGGAGAAGGTAGCGTGACACCTGTGGGCAACAGTGTGCCCCGACAGTCATTGTTGGTGCATTCAAGCTACCCTATGCTTTCTCCTTTTACTTTATTCTATTAGAATAAAAGCTTCTTATTGGTAGCTGGAATTGCTTCAGAACATTTGAGGAGGAGGAAAATTATGAAAATCACCTAGAATTCTTTGAAAGGAAAAAAGGCAACTTATTAATATAACAAACAAAGTGAAGACTTCTTGCCACTTCCTTCTTTTCTCATGAATGCTTCTGGGCAGTGTATAAGGCTTTTAGGGAATGAAGATGGCAGGTTGCTGTTGGCCGATATCTTCATTTGTGGCATGCCTATTTTGTGATGCTCAAAAAAGTTTTTTAAAATACGTTCAGTGGCTCTCTACAGGTTGCCTACCTTGGTCTACTGCATACACAGGAATCATCAGTCCTTATTGCTGTAGAATAAAATCTTGGATAAAAATCTTTATGCCATACATTTTAAAGAAAACCTTCTCTTTAAAAGCAATACACACATTCAAAACAAGGAAATGATTTATGGGAAAGCTTTTTAGCTTTCATATTGTTCCTGAACATTTTAATTTTTCAATTTGAAAAACTGAAAATATGTCTTTGGAAAAAACTGGGGGAGAAGGGCTCCTCTCAATCTTTTCATTTCCTTCCATAACACAAGCATGATTGCTGAGAAAGCAGTAGATAATCTTCAAGCCCCATACCTGCCTCTGAGCTCCAAGAATAGTCATCAGTAGAAACAGCAGCTTGCTCTCAAGTCTAAGAATGTGTTTTCATGTCTTTTGTTTGCCTGGCACATAGGAGAATGACTCAGGAACACTGGATACCGTTGGAGCAGTTGTGGTTGATCAAGAAGGAAATGTTGCTGCTGCAGTGTCCAGTGGAGGCTTAGCTTTGAAACACCCTGGAAGAGTTGGACAGGTAGGTTTGCTCAGGATTTACAAATCTTCGAGGGAATATGTTCTGAAGACCAGGAGCTAGTACCCAAAGGTCTCTTCTTGGTCACCATCTGCCTCACTTGTAATGCCTGCAGGAAGGCTTCAGAGGTTATAACATCTGAGTGAAAGTGTTGATGGGCTTGGGGGAATTTATTTCAACAGCTACCTGTGTCCTGTGATGAGTGGGACTTGACTCATAATGAAGATGATGTAGAAAGGAAAGGAAATATTCTTTGAAGAAAGGAAATATTCTTCAAATTATTCATGCAGTGTTTCAAAAGATTTATTTAGACCCAGTCTCTCCTAAACTCTTTCCTTTTCCCTTCACAGCAGAACTAATTGAGAAGCTTTTATTATTATGCTAAAGCTGGCCAGTCGGGGCTGGCTTTGTGACAGAAAGTAACTAATAAATAGACTTCTAAAAAGAAGAATCCATCAAGTTAATGAGCCCTCTAATTGTGTAGTTAATTCTCCCAGTGCCATAGCTGGTGCTTCTTCCCCATTCCCCACCAAACTGAGTTGGCATCACCCTCAGGAAGGTTTGTGTTGCTTGTGGGGAAGATGGCAAGGATGCTACTTAAGTGATCTGCTCATTTAACTTATTTTCCGACTGCTGGACAGATAAAGTTACACATTTTCCCTTCTGATCTTCCCTGTTCCACAGTGGTTTCCCCTGAACCAGAAGTAATAGAGACTTAGACAATTCAGCTAATCTTTCTGACTTCACCTCTTTTTCCAGTTCAGATTCAGAGTCTGAAGTAATCCACCATGAAATACTGTATCTTGGAGGTAGCGAGCTCCATCACTACATGAGGTTTCATTCTGAAACTGTATAGTTCTTCATCGTGGTCTCTGTGTATCACACACACATGATTTAAGCAACAGTGGGAGACCTAGGTTGTAAGAAACGTCTACAGTTCAGTGTTATGGAATGGGCAGGGCTGCCCATCCCCTCTGGAGTTCTGCTATGAGGGGAGGGGCTCCCACCCAGTTCCGCAGTTTCTTTTTAACCACAACTGCTTAGGTTGGAATTGCTTTGTCACTCCTCCTTTCCTTTCTCCTTTCTTATATTAAATATATATTTATATAGATGCATGTTCTCTTTTTGTCTGTCTACTTTCTTCTCCCTTGAACTATTTCAGTCATGATGACAGCCATGCTGGCCTCTGCTCCTGAACCACATGGTCTCATACCAATTGCTAAAGAGGGCCAGGAAGATGGTCGGCACCTCCAAAGGCCCCATAGGACCAAAACTTGCAGGCGCACAAGAAGCACCACCACATGAGCCCCCCCCCCACAACTTTCTCTGCTGGCAACTGGCTCCCTTGCCTACGGACACCATCCTCTGACTCTGGACCAAGGGGCTGTGCTGTGCAAGCCCCTAGGATGTCCCTGACTGAGGCTCATGGATACTTGTGTTCATCCGGGCTCTGTTGTGGCCTGCTTCCGAGTGCTGCCACCAGTGCGGCCTGCTCCTGAGTGCCCTGGAGTCCGCCCTGGAGCCCTGATGTGACCTGATGCCAAGCGCCGCCACAACCTTCATATCCATGTCGCCACGGCCTGGCCACTGATGACTGATGTGGCCTACCTCTGAATGCTGCTGCCATGGCCTGCTGCCAGGCACAGCTGCCCCTGAAGCCTACCACCTGCTACTGCTGTGACCTACCTTTGGGCACGACCATTGCCATCATGCATAGTCCTCTGTGGCAGCCTACTCATACAAGGCCTGTGGTCTGCAGCAAAGCACAGCTGCACATTCATATCTTGGAGATGCTAACTTTTAAAATGGTCTCTACCTCCTGCTATGAGACCCTGTGAGGTCACCATGGACAGATTGTGATGTCCTGCCTGCATGAGCTAGGTGGCATGTGACTAGCCTGAACCTTCACTCTAGCACCCACCACTCTGGAGTGGGGCACAGACAAGGAGAGCAACATCACAGCCTCCATGCGGCAGGCCAGCTCATCACCCTGCCTGGCACTTTGCATCTCTCTCCCTTGTCACCCCATGAGCATGAGCTCAGCTGTGCAGTCCTTGAGATCTCCTGTCGCAGGTGGTCGAGCCTGAGATAGGTCTCCCCGCCCCTCCCCAGATCACCAACCCAGGGCAGTGGTTTTTAACCTTCCTACAGCTAGGGACCAGCGAAAACTGGAAAACTGCATCGAGGACTGCTGAGGCAGAAACAAAAAACACGACACACATACTACAGTATTCTATGTTAGTTTCCCAACACAATACCTAAGAAATGAAAATTCTCCAAAAGAACCAGAGTCAAAGCAATAAAAAATGCCAACAAAAGAACATAATACCGAGATCAGTACAGTGTGGCTCTCAGCCAGCTCCTACCAAACTTTCTCTCCTCCCACCCCCCACAGCACTGGCACAGCCTCCACAACCATGATGCCAACCGAGGAAGAAGTGGTGGAGCACAGCCAGCTCCCATGCTGGCCCACAGCAAGCAGGATGCAGCCTCTCCTCCCCTGTGAACTGGCAGGGAATCTGCGGACTGGCACTGGTCTGCGGACCGGTGATTGAAAACCACTGACCTAGGGGATCCCCAAGTCCCCTGCAACCCCTTTTACAGCCCAGCATTCTCTCCATCATGCAGGCCTCCTTTTAACCCTCCACATGGAAAGCCTCTACAGCCTTCTTCAGGCTAGAAGGGCCCCACTCCACTGAGACCCCAACAGAATGCATGTCAAACCACCTGAAGACCTGCTTAGTGCAAGCCCCCCCCCCCCACTCTTCAAGTGTGCCTAGCATCCTTGCATCCCCATCTTCAGCCTTCATGCAACTGATCCCCTGGCACACCCTCTTGAGCCTCCTGATGATTCCTCAGTCCCTACCCATTGGGCCGTTGCCACCCTGTCTTCTTTCTAAGCTGTCCACACCCATACAGGCGGCATGGCTCTTGCTTCACATCATCAGGGCCCTTGCCTCCAACACTTTACTCACAGGGCAACTGTCCCACTTGCACTGCTCTTTGTGTGCTGTGAGGACTGGGGAAGGGGAAAGCCCCTGTTCTTCATCGTGGCCTCTGTGCATCACACATATGGGTGCTGCTCCTGCACAGTGCCTAAGGCCGGAAAGATTGCAAAGCTTAATGGTTTTTGGTGGGAAAAACTCTGCTCCCCTCCCCCCTAACGACATAAATGGAGCAGAGTGCCTGCCATTTTCCCAGTCTCCTTGCGACTACCGTTCACTGTGCCTCAAGTCTTTATCTCTTCATCACTATTTGCTCTTTCCTTGTTACTAGTTGTATAACTCCAAGTTTTTCCCTTCCTGTTTAAGTTCTTCCCCCATTTTACTCTTTAACCTCTCCTATAGAGGAAAAAAAAGATCTTACCTCCTTTCTATCTACCTATTCCTATCCTCCTCCTCCCGATGGCACAGCGTGCGGCTTTCCATAAGTGCTCGCAGTGTGGGTTTAAGATGTCTCCAACCGACCCACACGATCTGTGTGTCCTCTGCCTCAGAGAGGGTTACAGGACTGACAAATGCGGTCATTGCCAGGCCTTTACGAAGAAGGGACGCAAGAACCGCGAAAATCGCCTGCAAAAACTACTGTGGGACCAGGCCCTCATGTAGTCAGATCAACTGGCAGGCAAACTGATTCCAGCCGCTGCTTCTACCGCCCCTCCACCACACCCACTGACTGATGGTGCCCAGGTGATGGGGGCTCAGCGACCTCCTCCCCATCACAAGCAGAAGGGGAAGAGAAAACACGGTGGATCCAAGAAGTCCTCGGGCCATAAGAAGCTGAAAAAAGACAAATCGGACAAACCAGCTCATAAATCTAAGAAGCCCAGTCACCCACGACGCTGTGATTTGGGCTCGTCTGTACCATCGGTCCCGACGGCCGCCACAGTACCGACACCGACGAATCTGGCCCTGCAGATGGCTATGCAGGTGACTCCACCCGGTCTCCCAGACAGGTTGTACGCTCGGTTCACTCATCTCCCGAGCAACCCGATGTACCGTTACAAGAGTCCATTTCCAAAGGGGAGATCCGTGACCCCTCCAGCGGCTCGCTCTCCATCTCCCTTGCCGTCGCCTGGACCTCTCTCAAGACCAGTTTCCCAGCAAGCGCGGTACCATTGTTGCTCCTTGAGCCATTTTTTGGAGGGATGGGAACTACCCCGTCATGGAAGCCATCGTGAACCCTGGGATGACTACCCAGTTTATAGCTGCTACCCGTCGGTTCAGGACTGTACTCTCTCCCCGGTACCGAGAGAGGCGGCGTCTACTTCGAGACCGATGAGGTCGGGGCACCCCAGCTTGCCAGTTGAGTCCTCTTTGAGCAGCCCACCGCAGCATGATAAAGACTCAGAGGACTCCAAGGTGGCATCAACTTCATCTGATGCTGCCATCATGACGCAAGGTCCCGGATTGCCAGAGGAACCTTATATGACCTTCGGTGAACTGATGGCATGACTTGTCAGATCGCTAGAGATCGAGGCTCAACATCGCATCGATCCTAGCACTGACAGGTTCTATGATATTGTAAAGGGAGAGCAATCTGCTGCCATCATCCTACCACTGATAACGACCCTCTGACAAGTGATGGTCCAACCCTGGGATTTTCTGAGCCAGCCCCAACCTACTTCTCTTCGGTATGAGGCAATGTATCGAGTTCGGGAGCAGGATATACCATTCCTCCTGCGCCACCCGAGGCCAAACTCGATAGTGGTGAAATTGTCCCAGGGTCGCGAATCGAGGGGTCATACTACGCCATGTGACAAGGAGGGTCGTAAGATCGCCATGCTGGCTCGTTGGTTTATGCCACTTCAGGACTTGGCCTCCGCATTTCGAATTACGAAGCCACGCTGGCCCAGTACCAATATTTCTTGATGCAGAAGCTCGACAACATCACCACTTCTCTTCTGGACCATCAGAAAGACCTGGCTTGTGTATTCATAAAGGAGGCCATGCAGGTTTCGATCCTGCAGCTAACTACAGCGAGGCACCATGTTAATTTGGACTCCAGGGCTCTGGTTGGTGCCATCTCTCTTTGTCGCCTTGCATGGCTTCGTAGCTGTAACTTCCTAGAAGAGACCAAACGCTGTATCGAAGAGATGCCATTTGATGGCTCCAGGTTGTTTCATGCACAGACGGATCACAGGCTGAAGTCCATCCACGAATCCAGGATGACTGCTCGTCGGATGGAAATTCCAAGTCAAGTCCGATGTAAGTGGTCCTGGTCCTGACCGTCCTACAGGTCGCAACCGTACTTCTAGTTCCTGAACAGGCAACAGTTTCAGCCCCGACAACAACACTGAAAGCAGCACCAACGACACCGCTTCCAACAAAACCGCAGTCGTTTCGATTTGGATAAACGTCAGCATTGACAGGCCGGGCGAACCTCTCCTCTTCTCCTTAACCTCCCCTCCCCTCTCCCTTTTGGGGACCTACTGCAAAGTCGGCTCCCCGTTTGGGAGTCCATCACATCTGATCGGTGGGTTTTATGCATTATTCAGCTCGGATATAGAATAGAATTCGACATCGTTCCCCTGTCGGGACCGATCTGATTTACACCTCACTTGTCGGTTCTCGTAGATGAAGTTCAGCGATTACTTTGTAAAGGAGCAATCCGACAACTTAGTGCTCTGAAGGGCTCCACGGATTCTATTCTAGATATTTTACTGTCTCTAAGCAGGACGGTGGTCTTCATCCGATTCTGGACATACGAGACATTAATAGATTCATCAAAATTAAGAAATTTCAGATGACCACCCTTCAAAAAATCCTTTCGTTGCTTAGGAGAGGGGATTGGCTCGCCTCCCTGGACTTGAGGGATGCCTACTTCCATATTTCTGTCCATCCATCCCATAGGTGTCTCCTACGATTTACGGTTGGTTCCGACTTGTTCAAATTCAATGTCCTTTGGGCTAGCCACTGCCCCATGGGTTTTCACCAAGTGTATGGCCCCAGTGTGTGCACACCTGTGGCTTCAAGGTATTCAAGTGTACCCATACCTGGATGACTGGCTCATAGTTTCCCTGTCTCGGGAAATCCTTTCAGCCTTGAGAATAACTTGTGCCCTTCTGGATGATTTAGGACTGTGCATTAACCATGAGAAATCGTGCCCTATTCCCTCACAGGTAATCGATTTCATTGGAGCGCGTCTCAACTCCACTCTAGCGAGAGCTTAGCTTCCATCAGACCGACAGGACAATCTGTGCTCCTGGATCCATCAAATCCAAAGGGACAGAACAGTTCCAGCTCTTGCGATCCGGAAGCTCCTTGGTCACATGGCTGCTTCAGTTGCCACAGTTCCCCATGCCAGGCTTCGAATGAGACCACTTCAATTATTTTTCAACAGAATGTTTCAGCCACGAGACTCGCCCAATCAACCTCTCCATCTTCCACTTTCTATCCTCTGGACTTTATCATGGTGGACTGTTCCACACAACTTGAACGTGGGTGTTCCATTCCGTCCACCGCATTCAACCTTGACTCTCTACACCGACGCATCTCTAATCGGGTGGGGAGCCTTGTGTGCCAGACTTCGAACACAGGGCACCTGGGATCAACAGGAATCTACCAGGCACATCAATTACCTCAAACTTCTGGCAATCTTCAAAGCTCTTCGCTCCTTCAAGGACACTGTCCAGCGACATGTTGTACAAGTTGCATCTGACAATGTTGTCACTGTATTTTATGTGAACAAACAAGGCAGCACGAGATCTACTTCCCTGGCTCATCTGGCGATGCAACTGTGGGACTGGTGCATCCCTAGGCATATAACTCTCCTGGCAGTCCACCTAGCCGGTACGTACAACAAGGAGGCCGATAAACTGAGCAGACAAATGTCAATGACCCACGAATGGGAGCTAGATCGACCAACTTGCAGTTAACTTTTCCTCCAATGGAGCCACCTGGACATAGATCTGTTCGCTACCCACAAGAACAGAGTATGCAGCGCGTACTGTTCTCTTGCCAGCATCGGGCCAGGTTTGACAGGAGATGCCCTAATGATCCCATGGTCCAACATACTCTTTTACGCCTTCCCTCCAATCCCACTTATAACAAAGGTTATTTCCAAGATTGTCCATGACAGCAGCACGGGAATCCTGATCACACCTTGGTGGCCCTGTCAGCCATGGTTCTCCACTCTCTTCCGGCTGTCTGGCAACACCTTTCTCTGTCTACCGCTCACACTACATTTGATAACCCAGCAAGACGGAGTGGTTCGCCACCCAGACCTCACCTCACTAAATCTCACAGCTTGGCGAATTCAGTGAATCACGATACGGATTCGGTACTGACCATACCATGATCTACCATACTTGCCAGTTACGGTCCCGATACAACACTCGTTCCCTCGGGTCCGTTAGACCATACATCGGGTTCGAGCATTCTCCATCCCGACATCCAGCATATTCTCGAATCTGCCTTAAGATCATCAACGCAAAGATCGTATGCGGCGAAATGGCATCGGTTCTCCTCCTTCGCGGAATCCAACTCGTTTACCGCTTCCTCAGCTTCTGTTGAGGACATCTTGCAGTTTCTTCTGGCACTACATCAGTCAGGACTTAAACTTTCTTCCATCAAGGTTTATACAGCAGCTATCTCCCACTACCATGGTCCAGTGCAAGGCTCCTCAGTGTTTTCTCCATCCATTATTCAAAGATTCATCAAAGGGTTGCAGAATCTCCATCCGCCAGTTCGTCCTGTCATGCCTACATGGAGCCTCTCAGTTGGCCTTCAAGCACTCACCAGAGCCCCCTTTGAACCTCTGGCAAGTACCGATTTACGTATCTTGGAAGACTGCCCTCCTCATGGCTGTCACTTCGGCTAGAAGGGCTAGTGAGCTTTGCACGCTTTGGGTAGACCCTCCTTATCTGAACTTTCTTAAAGAAAAAGTTGTTCTTCGCACCAATTCAACGTTCTTGCCTAAAATCGTTACTCCATTCCATATCAATCAGGACATTGTTCTGCCTGCCTTTTTTCCATCACCCTTGACTCCGATTGAGTGATCATTGCATTCCCTCGATGTTCGCCATTGCCTGGCTTTTTACAGATCGCATACAGAATCCCTCCGCAAATCTAACCGCCTCTTTGTGAAATATTCGGACCACGACAAGGGTTCTCCTGTGAGTTCACAGAGGCTTTCGAAATGGATAGTACAGACAATTGAATTGGCATACCAACTTGCCAAAATTGACTTACCTGTTCTGCCCAGAGGTCATTCTGCAAGAGCGGTAGCAGCCTCCTCCGCCTTTGCTGCGGGGATCCCAATTGAAGACATCTGCAAAGCTGCGACATGGACTACTCCTTGCACCTTTGCCAAACATAACTGCCTTGATGTCCGTGCCAGACTGGACTGTTCCTTTGGTCAGGCAGTCCTTTCTGCTGTTCTTCAATGGTGACACCACCCGCCTCCAGGTCTGGTTAGCTTGTTAATCACCCATATGTGTGATGCACAGAGGTCACGACGAAGAAAGGCAGGTTGCTTAGCTGTAACTGTCGTTCTTTGAGTGGCCATCTGTGCATTCGCACAACCCACCCACCGGCCCTGCTTGGTGTTGGTGAATGGGTTCTTTTTTTTCGGTACTATGTTTTTTTGGTATTCATCGTCCCATGCAAATTTTTTGCAGTATCTCTCGCTCCCGCGAGGGGGCAAACATCCGGTCTTCAGTAGACTGGGAAAACGACAGACACTCTGCTCCATTTATATCGTTTGTGGGGAGGGGAGCGAAGTTTTTCCCGCCAAAAACTGTTAAGCTTTGCAATCTTTCCGGCCTTAGGCACTGCGCAGGTGCAGCACCCATATGTGTGATGCACAGATGGCCACTCGAAGAACGACAGTTACAGGTAAGCAACCTGCCTTTTCCCCAGGGACTCTTCACATGAATTCCAGATGGTAGGTCTCAACCTCACTCTACACATGTGCTCCTGGGCTGCCTTGACCGCCCCTCACTGGCACCTAGATGCACAGCATATCAAGAGCCACCATTTGGTTCATGCCCTCAGTCTCCGACTGCCACCACCAGCTTGATGCCCATGCAAGGCAAGCCGTCTCTTGACTGGGCAGTCCTCTCATCAATCCTACAGCAACGACAGGCCCTCCATCCCATGAGGTGTGAGCCTCCCAGTCACCCTGTGTGTGTGATGCATAGAGACCACGATGAAGAAAGACAGGTTGCTTACCTGTAACTGTTTTTTTTGAGAGGTCATCTGTGCATTCACACAACCTGCCCTCCGTCCCACTAGCTGTTGTCAGCTGGCATGCCACTGCGCTTAGGTCTCTGTCCATTTGACTGCCTGGGGATGGTGCGGTCTCCTAGGATGCCTTGTTAAGGCCAAACTTGAAATTAATAAAAGTTGGTGTAGCAGGTACAAATTCTTCATCCACTTGGATGAAGGTGTGGTAGGGAGGCAGAAGAGGGCTTTTCCCAGTGACCCTGCCAACTCTGTGACACCAAGCTGTAGAAGTTTCTTCCGACCTAGGCCTTCCATTGTCACGAGCCCCTGCATGTGTGAATGCACAGATGCATTCACACACACAAATGCTGTGGGGTTTGTTTTGTTCTACTTATTTATTGTAAGCTGTCCCAATTCGTTTGTCGGGGATGGGATAGAAAAGCTTTTAATAAATAATAAATAAAAAATGACCTCTCCAACAATGGTTGCAGATAACCAACCTGTCTAAACATCTTTTAGCAATGTCATCTTTTATCTTTCTTGATCTTTTTATAGGATGTTCCTTTATTACCCTGCCTGCAATGGATTATATTTTCTGTCAATACCTGATCAAATAGTTCTCTTTTTTTGTAAAATATTCTTCCTCTTCTGTCAGGCAGCTCTTTATGGATGTGGTTGCTGGGCTGAAAATATGGGAATTCAGAACCCTTATTCTACAGCTGTGAGTACCTCAGGTATTTACTATTCTTATAAATATTTGATGGAAATTTATTTTCCCTCCTGATACACAGTTACTTGAGCTATTTTTCTGCTATGCATGTTCAGATGTGCAAGTTCTCTGAAGAATTTTATTTCTCCTAAGTCAATCCTTTGTCTTACTACAAGGGTAGGTAATATTTTTATTTCAGCTTTAATGTATAGACATCTAGAGAACATGGTAACTGGGTTCTCGTAACATGACAATCCATTGTGTTTAAATAGCCACATGTGTTATTGTGTCATTTGAGCATAGATGCTTTCTGCCAATGGTTTAATTTTTGGCAGCCAGCCACCCTGGCAGTCATGGCTTGTTCTGGGATTGTTGGACCCATAATGACTTGTTGCGTTGTCTGAACCTGGCAAAGTAATTTCGTAATGGGTTCTGGGAAATGCCTAAAAATAAAAGTGGCAAGAATGGCAAAAACCCTGCCTCTCTTCACAGTCTTACCTGTGCTGCTACCACGCCATTCCCTCCACTGACACCAAAAAGGATTTTTGGAGTTAACTGGCACTGGTTTGCTACCCTTTAAAAAATGGCCCATGAAATTTGTGCAAATTTGTGGTTGTTGCTGCTGCTCTTTCAGCACTGTGCAGGCGTGTACTTGTGTGGCTGTCCATTATATGTAGTCTTTCTGGGTCAGTTTTCATGGAGTATGGAAGTGGAGATTGATAAGGAAACTTTATATAGGAAAACTTGCATGCAGTTATCTAGCTGTCAACGGAAAAGCCTTGGTAAAAGGTTTACCAAGTACATACATTTGGAAAAAAGTACATACACTGAAGAGGGGACAACAATACCATCTCATTAGCAGTGCAATCCTTTTGATTTTAAGCAACTACTTTAATGCAGAGCACACACATCTGGTAAGAACCCAGGAAAATTGGAAAGCTCACAATCAGCCACCTAGTAGAGCTGTTTGTTTGTTTATTGCATTTATATATCACCCCAATAGCCCAGTGGGCTCTCTGGGTGGTTTACAAACATTAAAACCCCACCAATCCTAAACAAATAAATTGGCTACACCACAACTGAGGAGAAAATAACATGGTTAAAATGAAATAAATAAATAAATAAACCATTCCAACTAATTAACTTTAAAATATTGGTTAAATAAAAAGGTCTTGACTAGGCGCCAAAAAGCATATAATGACTGTGCCAGGCGGACGTCTCTAGGGAGCGCATTCCATAGTCAGGGCGCCACTGCAGAGAAAGCTCTCCTCCTAGTACTCTGTCTCCTAACCTCTTTCAAAGAGGGTTCCCGGAGGAGGGCCTCTGCTGCCAATCTTCAGGGATGGGAGGGCATACAGGGGAAAAGGTATTCCTTTGGGTATTCTGGTTCCAAGTCGTTTAGGGCTTTATAGGTAATAACTAGCACCTTGAATTGAACCCGAACTTCAATGGGAAGCCAATGGAGCTGATAGAGGACTGGAGTAATGTGAGAATAATGACCAGTCCCCGACAGCATCCTGGCAGCTCTGTTTTGCACCATCTGAAGTATCCGGACCGTCTTCAAGGGAGCCCCATGTAGAGCGTGTTACAGTAGCCCAAACAAGCGGTAACCAGTGCATGTGTCACTGTTGCCAGGCAGTTCTCCTCCAGGTAAGGATGCAGCTGATGGATCAGCCAGAGCTGAAGGAAAGTGCTCCTCGCCACCGCCATCACCTGGGCTTCCAAGGACAGCTCCGGGTCGAGGAGCACTCCTAAGGTGTGGACCCTGTCCTTTAGAGGGAGTGCAACCCCGTCCAGGGCAGGGCCCAGGTCACTTCCTCGGAAACTTGAATCACCTAAGAATAGGACCTCCATCTTATCTGGATTGAGCTTCAGTTGATTGGCCCTCATCCAGCCCATTACCTTGGCCAGGCACTGGTTCAGGACAGCCACTGCCTCATCTGGATTGGTTGAAAAAGAGAGGTAGAGCTGGGTGTCATCAGCATACTGATGATTCCACAGCCAAAACCTCCTGATGACCTCTCCCAGCGGTTTCATGTAGATGTTAAATAGCAAGGGGGACAGAATGGAGCCCTGCGGTACTCCATGGCAGAGTTGCCATGGCGCAGAGCCAAAGTCCCCCAGCACCACCTTCTGGAATTGGCTGGCAAGGTAGGAGCGGAACTGCCGCCAAGCAGTGCCTCCTGCTCCCAATCCCGCCAGCCTATCCAGAAGGATACCATGGTCGATGGTACTGAAAGCTGCTGAGAAGTCCAGGAGAACCAACAGGGACGCACCCCCCTGTCTCTCTCCCTGCACAGGTCATCATACAGGGCAACCAAGGCAGATTCAGTACCGTAACCAGGTCTGAAACTGGACTGAAATGGGTCCAGATAATGAGACATGAGACAGGCCTGAGACAGGAAGTAGGGAGGCAAAAAATAATAGCATGGCAATTCTTGGAGAACAGGTGTAATGATGTGTAACATTTACCAATATTTTCCTAATGGAAGCAGAACATTTTGTAATTTGTCCCTTGTAGCATATGCTGTGCTACATTCACTAAGTCTAATTAAGGAGGCTTCTTGTTTAAGTGCTATTGTCTCAGTAAGCTTTATAATTGTGTGGCAAAAGGGATATGTTTTGTAACGTAGCTTGTGTGACCAAAGAGATATGTTGTTCAGTTCTTTTTACTGGGAAACTAATGCATATTCATAAGCATTCTCTCAGTATGAGATAAACAAGCTAAAGTTAATTTACAAAAACTTTATACGTTATTTAATAAAGTGTCAAAATGTATGTTCAACACAAAATAATAAAGCCTAGAAATTAGAGGTGAAAACAGATGTACAGATCTGTCCAACATGTCTGTGAACCCTCAGAGCAATTGACTTTCATCATCTTGATAGACTTCCAGCTTGCTATTACTTCTAAAACAAATCATTCTGTTGTGAACTGAGGCATTTATATCACTTTTTTTTCCTAGGGAGGGGGAAGTACAGAAAACACACACCAACACCTAAGTAGCCAATGAAAGGAAAAGCTGCTGCTACATATCCCAGATGTCTTGTCTTGCAACAGAGGAAGGGCTGTTGGTTTATGAGTTTGGTGTGGTGGGGTTTCTTTATGCCTTCATATTTCATTTATTAACAATGAGTCTGACTTCCTCTTTGATGATTCAAAGCAGGCTGTGCTTCTTCCTCAGCTTCCAGTCAGTGATAATGTCACCCCTTGCTATATAGACTGCTAAGTTTTCAGTGCAAGTGAAATGACTATTTTTATTGCTTCTTTAAAACTCATGATGCATTTGATTGGACACTGCAGGAGACATCATAACTGGGCTAGATAAGACTGAGGGGTGCTCTTCTGCTTTTATGTTCAGGTTGTTTCAGTCATTTCCTTTGGCAATGTATTTGTGGGCTGAGGCATTCCACTTTCCCTTGAGGTTAGATTAGCACTGACTCTTCCCTGAAGAAACCTGTTACATACTTGTTTGTTTTGGAGAAAGTTCTAATGAATGGGAACGCATCCACTTTTTAAACAAAACCACATTTTGACTCTGGCATTTGGCTAATACATTTCTCACATAGTATACCAATTTTGATTATTTATGAATCATTGGGTAGTGACTTGGAGAAAAGCAAGAAACAAATGCACATTTTTAAACATTGTATCTTTAGTGGGTGTTTTTGGAAGCATGGTATTGTCTCCTAATTCATCAGTCTTTTCAGTTATTTACATATATAAAAGGCTTAAAATGTCTCTACCAAACCCAGCTATAAAGTCTGAACTGGATGAAATGCACTTTTAAAAAGGTTTGTGATCATGCACAAGCTTTTATAGTACAGTCTTTAAATTTAATTTTATTATTGTATTTCATCTGACTGCAGGTTGTGCATTTACCAAATGTGTTCTTTTCAAGTTGCAAGACAAGAATAGAAAGTGGGAGATTTCCTAGTTCATATATTAAAGCTATGCTACTGCAAATGGTCATATATCACTGGTTACAGACTGTCAGGATCTGTGCCGTAAACAGATAAATAGTTTATTTAGAAGCTATTGTTGAATCTTCAGAAAGGAACCTAGCAAAATTATTTGAAGCTCCCGAACAGTTCCTGCTGAAGACATGTTACTGCTTGAAGCAATGCCCAAATTACACCCGTCCCTGCTGAGGCCAACACAGCTGAAATTGGTCTTTCAGCACAGTTCAAATATCTATTCCTGTGTTCATCTTTCTCCCAGTCCCCCAGTAATTCTACCTGAAACAACTTACCTCACCATATTGCATGGCATGACCACCCTGTTCCTGAAAGTCTAATACATACATATCTGCCCTGCCATTTTCTCTCTATAGTTGTTGCTGAATGCTGTTGCCAAGGCATTTTGGGGACTGATTTGAATTGGTATCCAGTTTCTTTTGGAGCCCGGTTCAAATACTAAGTTATTACTTTTCCAAACCCTAAGTGCGTTGGATCCTAGAGATCTAAAGGATTGCTAACTCCTGCATGGGTCTGCCTTTCAGTTGGGATTCACACTCCACCATTCTTGAAATCAGATTGGTGAGGAAATGGGACAGGTCCTTCAAAGGTAAGGCACCTTGTCTTTGGAGTACCCTTCTCCTGTTCATTTGTAAGCCTTTTTTTCTGATTTTTGGAAAGAATCTGAGGATATTGAGTTGGATCCAGACCTGTACTCAGTTGAGATTGGCTGGTACTGAAGCAGGGGTGTAGAGACAGTGTGGGAGGGGACCCCTAAGAAATGAAGGCATTCACTAAGCTGTGAATTCTGCAGGCTTTTGTTAAATCTTGTAAACTTTACTTTCCCCCATTTCAAGCAAGTTAGTCTGTGTCTTCCCACTAACAAACTTGGTATTTGGAAAATCAGGTTTTAAAAAAACCTTAGTGCACGCTCTGTGAAGAAGGCAGGCTCATGTAGAAAAGCTGGTCATTCAAGACCCTAGACCAGTGCTATTTAGGGTTGAGCGCTTCTCCACAGAAGCAAATTTTTGTAATCAGCATAGTACTGGCAATATATATACCCTGCTGT